CTTTCTATCTCAAATAGAGCCTCTACGGAATAAAATGCTTCTTGCCAAGAATATTCACCAAATACCGCCGCCATTTTGACAAATAAAATAAAATAATTTATTCTAGTATAGAAATAAATTAACGCCAACAGACCAATGAAACGGCTGTATCCTGTAGCGACCAATCACAGTGGACTATCCAGATTCTGGATAGTAACTACGTCACAGAACACGATTAACTGCGCTAATTCATAGTCTGTGTTTAGCACTTATCACATTACACACAGACTATGTCGTAGTCTATTTAATCGTACGCTCAAGACGAAAATGTGGAAATACTTTACAGCGAAGAATACGCTCAAGTACGTGGACATTCTCCAGAAACTGGTCAAATCTTATAATCATTCGAGACATCGTAGTATTGGCATGAGGCCTGTTGATGTAAATGAAGACAACGAGAGCATTGTGTGGCAAAAACTTTATGGAGAAGAGTCAGACAAATCCATTCGGTTCAAGTTTAACATTGGCGACCAAGTACGAATCAGCAAAGCAAGGCGCACATTTAAGAAAGGATACCTACCTAATTGGACCGAGGAAGTATTTACGATAACCAAACGTGTTCTTCGACGCCCACCCGTGTACAAGCTCGCTGATTTTGATGACGAAGAATTGAAAGGAACATTTTACGAGCAGGAACTTCAGAAAGTCAACAAATCAGACAGTGATTATTATAGAGTCGAAGAAGTACTTAGATCACGCATGCGTAATAAACGTAAAGAGTATTTTGTAAAATGATTGGGTACCAGCAGAGAGTGTAAAAGATATTAAATAAATGTATTTGAAACATATCAGTTGTGTTCATTTGTGTATTGGTCTTCAACATGGCAACACAGTTTTATCTCACGCTACCGAGTAATAGTTCGTTAGCCTATTTTCCAAATAATACGGTAGCGAATTTTCGAGTGAAATTGGCTGAAACCATTGTATTGCCAGGACAATGGGAAGTCGCATTGACGGAACTGCATTATCCACATACGTGGAGCACGCTAAAACGTGGAGTGCAACAAACGTTTTTGTATAAAATTGGCAGTAACCCTTATCAAACTGTCGTGCTTAAAGAAACACAATATTCTTCTATTGAGCAACTAACAAAAGCACTCAATGCCGGCATGTTAAAAGAAACACAAACGAAAGTGAAGTTTAGTTATAATCGTAGTTCTCGCAAAGTTTTGGTTGATGTAAAACACGACACAACTGTGTGGTTTACCGGAGAATTAGCAACGGTCTTGGGATTTGACCAGGACACACTTATTGAAAAGAAAACGTCGAGTCCCTATCCTGCAGATATCAATGGTGGATTTTCCTCCATGTATGTATATACTGATATCGTTGACGCACAGTTTGTGGGCGATGTGAAAGTACCTTTACTACGAATCGTTAATATCGAAGGGGAATATGGAAACACCGTTCACGCCAGTTTTCGTAATTTGCAATACGTACCGGTCAAAGTAAATTCTTTTGAGACCATTGAAGTGAATATAAAGAATGACCAAAACGAAAACGTCTCATTTGAGTTCGGGAAGTCAATCGCAACACTTCACTTTAGACAGAAGAGATCTCAGTACTTTATCTAAAAAATGCGCGGAAGACTAGTTGTGGATGCTAAACTATTGAAAGACCATTTCTTGAGACAGCAACGTGGTGGGAATATCGCTGGGTTTCGTGGTGCACGTATGCAAAGGGGATATGGAATCGGAAGTATTTTCAAGAGCCTTGCGAGATATGCTATCCCTATATTCAAACAGGGTGCTAAAGTTGTTGGCAAAAGAGCATTGCAAGCAGCCACAGAAGTCAGTCAAGATGTACTCCAAGGAAAAAATGTAAAAGAAGCTTTTAAATCACGAGGAAAACAAGCAGCATCTGATGTTGCCAGGAAAGTAATGACCGGAAAGGGTCGCAAAAAGGGTATAAAAAGAGCAGCGCCAACTAAAACTCCCATTCGCGGTCCAACCAAGAAGCAGAAATCATCTCTCGATAACTATAGTCCAAAGTGGCATGGCTCTTGAAACAATGCATAAAGACTCGTGTATGTGTTCAAAATTTGAACTTGATTTATTTTCTGTTCCACCGACTCAAGTGGTAATGGAAAAAGGATTTTGGGAAGATGTTGATCCTATTACGAGTATATCTTCTTCAGATACGATAGAATTTTTATGTGCTGCAAATTCTGGAGTTTATACTGACTTAGCAAGCAGTTACCTATACGTTAAAGCAAAGATCACTACTGCGGCCGGAGGTAATGTGGGTGCCGACATTCAAGTTGGACCTTCAAACCTTTGGATGCATGCATTATTCTCACAAGTTGAAATATTTCTGAACAACAAACTGGTCACCCCATCAAGCACAGCCTACCCTTACCGAGCGTATATCGAAACGATCCTGAACTTTAGTAAAGATGCCAAAGATTCACATTTGACCTCAGCACTGTTCTATAAAGATAAAGCTGGAAAGATGGATGCAGTAAACCCGCTCGCACAAGATGCCCACGTCAACACGGGATTAAAACAACGCCATGCATATACACGTGAAAGCAAATCTGTCGCCATGGAAGGAAGACTTCATTCTGATCTATTCGCGCAAGACCGTTATATTCTTGGTGCTGTTCCAATCAAGATCAAGCTGGTGAGATCTAGAGATCCGTTTTGTTTGGTATCATCCGCAGAAGATCCCAATTTCAAAGTGGTCATCGAGGAATGTTTGTTTCGTGTACGACGAGTTAACGTAGCCCCTAGTATTATACTGGCTCATTCCCAGTCCCTTCAACAAATCACTGCCAAATACCCAATCAACAGGATCGACTGTAAGGTTGTCTCCGTACCTCGGGGGAATATGTCTGGAAATCAACCTAATATATTTCAAGGTGGTTTACCAAATCGTATCGTGATTGGAATGGTCGACGCGGATGCCTTTAACGGTACATATACGAAGAACCCGTTCAATTTTAAAAATTACGATATCACAACCATGGGTCTCACTGTCAACGGAGAGAACTTACCTGGAAAACCACTACAGTTGAAATTTGGAGCAGACAGTAATTACATTTCCGCTTTTCAAACCCTGTACGCCGGCGCACACAAGATTTTTGATAATCAGGGTAATGGTATAACGCGTGAAGAATATGCAAACGGTTATACACTGTTTGTGTTTGACCTCACTCCTGACTTATGCCTTGGTGATCATGTACAACCGATTAAGAACGGAAATGTGTCAATTGAATGTCGATTTGGAACACCGTTGGAGACAGCTATAAATATCGTGGTACTTGGTGAATTTCAAAGTCTTATCGAAATTGATGCTAACCGAAACGTGCTGTGTGATTTCAACAACTGAAGATAAATTCGCTGCAGATTATGAACATTCTCAAGAATGATCCGTTTACAAAAACGGTGTTTACGGACGTTTTACCGTCAGATCGTTTACCTCGCGAAATAAGAAAGAGGCCTAGAGGGTACATACTTAACACGGACGCATCGGATATGCCCGGATCACACTGGATTGCAATGTACCTTACAGAAGATGGTAAAGGGGAATTTTGGGATTCGTATGGTCAGGCTCCTGGATTTTACAATCAGAACTTTACTCAATTTTTGGACAAGCATTGCGCTACATTTACATGGAACAGAAGAATTTTGCAAGCCCCTTCATCAGACGTGTGTGGACAATATACATTATTCTTTGCTTTACATCGATGTAGACGTATTCCAATGTCAACCATTGCAAATATGTTTACGGATAGCAAAGAATGGAATGATGAGCTTGTGCGTGACTTTATAGACAAGTGGTACAAACACTAGTTTTAGTTTAAAAATAGATTTATTGTAAAATTTTTTCTTACAAGAAATAAATTATTTTAACCATTTATATGGACTACTAATATTGTCTCTACGGTTTTTTCTCTTTTCTTGCTGCACTCGAGGGGTGGTGGGTAGATTTTCCGGGATACCTTTGGTTTTATATTCGCGAACAATTCCAAGACGATTTTCGTTTCTCACAATACCTTCGGATACATTCAAATGCCCGAGAACTTTTGAAAACAATTCCTTTGACGTAGAGAATCATTCACCAAATCAACTATATTTGTGCTAGGAATCGATCTTCCTTTGAACACCATCTGGCCTTGTTCATTCCAACCAACAAGATCTTTATTTGACTTGAGTTTTTTGATGAGTTGTCGAGCTCTTGACTTCATAGTAGCTGGTACACTGTCCATGATATCTGTTTCAATCTCGTCTGAAGGTTCAGTCTCTTCACTCGGCTGTTCTCCTTGAGGGTCTTCAGGTTTATCGGTGTGCGTCACGTTTACTCGGAGAGGTTTATTCATTCGTTTATCATAAAAGGTTAAATAGCGTTGTAGATTCTGGTCGTATAACTTTGCCTTTTCATCAATTGGTATATCTTGTCGTCGAATAATATCCTGCATGTCTGAGTCTATTTCGTTAACCTGTGTCGCCAAAGGCGCCGCGAGAGGTTTCTTTCGCTGTTCAGCCATATGTTCAGGGACAAGGACTAGTCGCTTGACGTGTTCCATTATAAAAAGTTAGCCAACTGTTCCAAAACTGAAGTGAGTAGAAACGGTAGGAAACCCTCCCCTTTTTGGACTAGACGTGTTCTTCTTTTTACGATAGGATTTCTTTTGTCAGCCGCAAACTTTATATGCTTGGAATGCGGTGCAAGTTTTTTAGCTGTTTTCGGTTTCAGTTTAACCGTTTCAAACCAAACGTTTAATAGACACTGTCTTATCGCTTCGAATAAATCGTCTTCAGCCGCTTTCAAAATAGCTTTTCTCAGTTCGGGTTTGCACTTGGCCAATACTTTCAGAAGTTCGGAGTTCCTCTTCATACAAGCAGACATGATCAAATGAACATTTTACACACGTTCCCACATTTTTATACTCTGGGTTGATAGACATAATGCGTGTCGGTTGGAAAGATCCCGGATCGAATCCGTATCTCGTCCGGACATGTAGGAGTTAAGTCGACAAATAGATAAGAATAAGGTTCTTTTGTTGCCAATTGATAAGCTTGTTGGAAAAACTTCGTTTGACTCGGGTATAGCTGTTTAGCGAGATGAGTAATTTGACTTGCATCGCGAACATTTTTCGTTAAACATAAATAACTTGCATTGAGAGATATTGTGCGATGCTCTTTGCTCTGGTGAAACAAGTTTTGCACAATGTAGATTACGCTTAGATTACCATGGTGCGATTTTTTCGTGAACAATTTAGAAATCACTCCGTCTTTCTCACCCATCATATCGTCAATAATGAACAAATTGCGCGTTTCTGGATTGATACTATCCATTATATTATCCGGCAAGCCTTGTATGAATTTTATACCAGGCACTAAATTTTGTATTTCTCCAAACGCATCTTGATATTCGGCATAGAAGTAAATAATATTTTCAGGCGTTGGATCAATCAGCACATTGGCATAGCTGAGAAGCTTTTTCACAAAGGTGGTTTTGCCTGATTTTGTACCGCCAGAAACGAGAAGCCCAAACGGGTGTCTTAACTGTATGGAGTACATGATGAAAATGAAAGCAGATACTTTTCGGTCAGTCTATTTATCTTTTGCAACTCGATCAATACCGTTGCTTTATCAATAGGCATTTTCCTAGCACGAATAAGGTATGGTTGTCTCTCTTGAGTAGATAGTTTATGAACATTGGTTAAATGATTAGATAACTTTAATAAACCTTTCTTTCCGCACATGGGACAGACCTTACGCGTTCGAGGCATGTTATCAAATGAATGTTTCCGAGCATACAACTACCTAAATAGTCCCTTTGGGGACTAATTATTGTCCCCGGATGTCCCTGGCACAGATGAATGTCCCCACGGGGCCGTGATTACCAACATTGGTCCCTATTATAGCCGATTGTTCCTTTAGAAAGTCCCTCCGGGGACTAATTTTTGTCCCCGGATGTCCCCGACACAGATGAATGTCCCCATGGGACCATAACTACCAGCATTAGTCCCTATTATAGCCGATTGTCCCTTTAGAAAGTCCCTCCGGGGACTAATTTTTGTCCCCGGATGTCCCCGGCACAGATGAATGTCCCCATGGGGCCATAATTACCAACATTAGTCCCTATTATACCCGACTGTTCCTTTAGAAAGTCCCTCCGGGGACTAATTTTTGTCCCCGGACGTCCCCGGCACAGATGAATGTCCCCATGGGGACATAATCACCGATATTAATCCCTAATAAAGACGAATGTTCCTCTAGGGAGAAAATCCCCGCAGTTGTACCATTACACACATAACTTTAATGTTTGAAATCATTTATTAATTTAAAAACCATAAGGTAATGTATCAAAATTATTTACAATCACACGTTTATTATATACAATACGATAGTCCTTGTTCTCACTCCTCGTCTTTACACTTTTCTCTTTAGTGTCTCTATTTATTTTGTATGGTATATTTACAGCTATGCTGTCTGTGAGATCAGATAACGCTTCTAAACAAACCATATCACACATTAAATTAAAATTAACCTTTTGTGCAGTTCTGTAGTTTAAGGTGATCCCTCTAACTTTGCATACTGTTTTATCTGTACTTGTCTCGTAGGCATAGTTTTTAGGACCTCCAGACACAAAGGTTGTAATGTAACCTCCATCCAACTCATCCGTTAGTTGCCCAAGATAGGATCCCGTCGGCGGCTCCCATTCGTCTTCCTTTGAAACGTAGATAACTGAATCTGTATCAAAATATAAGACTCGGCGATTTAACTGCTCCAGGACACCATAGAGCTTGAGGCGGGCGTGGGCTGTGGTGAACGCTGCGATGACCACATTTGTCTTTCCATCGGCTTCCACGAATTCGTCAACGTTTTCAAAATGGACTTCGATGAGCTCATCATTGATGAAATTCGCGTCGGTGACGTTAATCTGGTCGCTAGAGAGGAGGTCAAAATATTCAGCTGGATCCGATATGATTTTGACCTTGGTCATGTTGGGTCGTTGCGCAAACTTTCCTATACAAGAAATGATAGATTTTTTAACAAACACTTGTTTTTGGTTTTTTTGTGTTTGTTTTTTTGAATTTCCCTAGGAAAAATAAGTACCGTTAGTGGACAATTTGCCATTGCACTTACCCCAAAAAGAGTTCAACATGAGCTTCGCCAACGCCCTCAGACCAGAATTCTTCACAATTTGTCTTGGATCCAGCTGAATACCTTCTTTGGCGGCGTAGTCAGCGATGTACTGCCCCTTCTTCTCGTCGGTGTCACATTCCGGAGGAAAGCCACTCGCCTGCAAAAGGGAAAGGAATAATAAGGAACTAATAATGTGACAATATCACACATGTGATGAAACCTTACCTCTTGTTTGATTTTGAGGAATGTATCAATATAGTCCTTAAACAGTCCATCTGTGTGCTCGGGGAAGTGCCAAACTTCGTCGATTCTCACCAGTTTGTAGCCTTTCTCTAGTGCTTTCTCGAGCTCCAAAGTCACCCACGTCCCATGAAGTGCTCGCTCGGCGTCGCTGTGATGGCAGGGCTCTTGTTGAAGGTTGTCGGCACAGGTACGACACAACGGGAACATCAATTTACCCTGAGTACGGTAAGGGAGGACGGGGTGGTACAGGGCACGAGGAGGAAGCACAGAACATTTCACCAAACCAAAGTAGTCGCTGATAGGTTGGAAGTTCTCAGTAATAATCTCGGGATGGCCAACCGGATACTCGCCGTATTTGTTACACCTAAAAATTGCTTAAGAAGGTTAACGACAAGCACGTTTGAGTTAAAAGACTTCAACAAGATACATACCATGGGTAGAGGCTGCAGAAATCCACATAGCGGATCTTCTCTTCTGGCTGGACGTCGTAATATAGGCGTGTTGCGTTAGTCCTTCCACCAAAGAATGCATGACGAGGTTCAAGAGGTTCAGAAATCTCAAAATTGTCGAAGAAATCCTTCATCTTGGGTTCGGTGGCAAGTTGACGCTCAATATCACACGTCCAAATCTCTACGACATTGTATCCGTTGTCCTTTAGGAATTGGATTTTCTCTAGGGTTCGCTGCTTAAGATCTTGCATGGTCATATGGTTGATCGAATTCACGGTATCTCTGGCATAACACCTTTCGCATCCATGCCACAGGCATCCTTGAATTTCCCAAACAGTGTTTGTTTCAACGTTGAAACCATCGACAAGATACTTGCCAATGCGCTGTTCTCCGTGGTTCCGGGCGTGACGAATTGCAATGTTATCACGTTCTGCAATCCAGGCCAGCATCTTCAAGGCGATGACGGACTGTTTGTTTTCAGGCTTGTACCCGCAAGGGGGAATGACGGCGATGGTGTTCTCCTGGAGGAACGTTTTACGGAAGACGAGATTACACGCAGAAGCAATGGTAAGACAAGAGGCAAAAGGGTCAACATCTGTGATTTGGCTGAAAAGTTCGCGGAACTCGAGACAACAACGACGCAAAATGTCCACATCGGATTGACAATATCGCAGAATTTCGGCTTGAAAGTTGAACTCGTACTGACGCCGGACTTGCTCGTTGTACCATGTATAAAACTTTTCGCGGTCATCGCTGCTCATGCCATCAGGATCGTAGAACTTCGAGTCTGGAAGAGGTCCCACGTAGTCTTGGTTCTCAGCACGGTTAAAGAAATGAGGAAAGTAACCTTTCTGAAGCTCTGTGAGACCAAACGTTTTCGGGAAGGCGGCGAGTTTCATTGGGATAAAACAGAGAGAATCAATAAACTTGATGTTCATTTCGGGGACAGTGAGCGAAAGGATTTTTGCGCCACGGGTAATGATTTCTGGAGTGATACCATTCTTGTAAAGGTATTGCAGAATAAAGTACCCGTCGTAGGCCTGGAAATTATGCGCGACAAACGTCGTATTCGTGTTTTCCTGCTGAAACATCCATTCGCAAAACTCGTCTTTTGTGTTTGGCCCAGAAAAGACTTTCTCGTCACCGCTTTCGTTCTGGACTACGCAGAGATTGGGAACGTGTTTACCATCGTCTTGCGTGCACTCAAAGTCGAAGAACATCAAGTTTTCGGTGTCTTCTACGTCGTTTTGCACGGCTACATCATCATCGAGCAAATCGTTTCCTTCTTCAGGGGATCGTGTCTTCTTCGCCTTTACAGGTTGAAGATAGCATTGGTGGTTTTCAGGTTTGACGTATTTTTGACATGTAGAACATCTCACTTTGCCACAATGATGATCACGAAGACTGGCACGAGTAACAACACGTTTGCATTTCTTGCATTTAATTAAAGCATGACACAGGGATTTAGCAGGACCAGCGTCATCTTTATGGCGGTTGAAGCATTCGTCACTTTTAAAGAACCGGTTACAGTCTTTGCAAAATTTCCATTCAACGATGGGACAGTTCTGGGTATGACACAGCTTGCACAGATCGCCACACGGATGGCTGGTAATTTTGTCGTAGCCTTTCTTGCATTTATGGCAATACTGTTTACGGGCGAGGAAAGCAGGCATACTGGTGATGACGTCGTAATGGTTGTCATGATGGTATAAATATAAGTGTTTTTCAGCCTCAGGGCCTGAGTAGATAAGGGCATTCAAATGTTCCTTGGAAATCACGTTGAGTTGATAACCAGGAAGAGCAGTTTGGAACTTTTTGATTTCCGGGATTCCACAGGAACCAAGAGGAACACCCGCTGACTCGTGGAGTTCTTGGGCTAAACGATTTTGCAGAGTACCAGTGCGACTGACGATACTCTTGTACTGCGGATCGTTATCCAATTTTGCTTTGGCCACCACTATCGCCCTGGCACAACAGAGATCATCTTTGTTTTTTATTTGGATGATGCAATCCTTTTTTCTGGGAAAACTTTCCAAGTTCACAACATCACGTTTACGCCCGGTACCACCCTGAGGCATTTCTACATGGACCACGTTGACGCTGACAGAGTCATCCAAAGTAAATTGATCATTGGACTGTACGACACGTTCGACAGCTGCCAGGAAACGTTCTGGGGTTAGACGATCGCGTTGCAGGAAAGGCAAGGAAATGGATTTGTCCAGCTGATCCGAGTTGAGGATCAAGCGAACTTGATCGTGAGGTGCCATATCACTCGTCAGTCGGTCAAATAAATGTTGAAATGCGCGGTTCAACGTCGACATAACGTTTGACACCCTGTGCACGTCCAACGGATTGAATTGAACAGTATAATCTGTACCTAAAAACCGTAATACACTATTGTACTAAGTAATAGCAATCAGAAGACTATGGTTGGTAACAAGTAGTCTTAAACACCCCAACATTTTATGAGTCGTGTTTACAAGCCTTGCATTAACCTTGGCCTACATTTTGACAGTGGGCGCTTTCCATTCAATGGCCTGACCGGTCAGACCCAAATTGTTTTTATCTGTATCAAGGGAAAGATCTAGTGTGTGTTTCTCAAATATCTAGCGAACATGGACCTCATTGTAATATTATCTAAATTTTCCGTTCAGATAAGTCCAAAGCCCAAAGGTTTTTTGTTTCATACAACAATTTGACCGTTCTGACCGGTTTGGCCCTGTTAATGGAAACCTGGAAATCTGGGTTCACTACAAGTGGTGGCCTAGGCATAGGCTTGTGGAAATATAAACACGTTCGGCCTGGCCTGCGTCTTATTCTGCAACGTGTGTCCACAGTGAGAGATTAACGGACAACCAACGGATAACATGATTTATATATCTGATTGCAGTGAACGAACAAACTTTAAAGCTATCCCTCGCTGGACATACAGTAATCATCATAGAGATTACCCAGTAATATAGAATAATCCACCTAAAAACGGGGGTCGTGGATTGTACAAACAAGGCTATTTATCGGATAGTGCTATACTTTAGCTACAATTCAAATCATAAGCCCTGTAAATACTAAAGCTTTATTTGAGAGTTATGGCCATTTATAAAAAGCTTATGCGTTGGATAGGTTTGTACAGCCAGTGGTACACACAAGCAATAAACATAACTCTTATAAGATCCTGTTTACACTATATCGGATTCGCTGGTCACGACGACGTCTTTTGCCGTTACGGAGCAATGGTTAGTAGCAAATGCTTAGTAGTTTGACAGAATTGACATGTTTTTTCGAGTCTCTGAGATTAAAAACCTTCACAACCTTTCGATACCTATAAAATTTGACCCACTCCGGTAGCAATCCGGTATAGTGTAAACAGAGCCTAATAAAAACGAAACCTTACTCGCACATAACAATCTATATCCCTCACGTAACTGATGTTACGTTTAGAAATACACGCTTAAAAATATAAAAACAGTTTGTGTACCTGTCGTCCTGAATTTCCTCACGTTGACTTGCTTGGCTGATTTAATAGTGAAATACTCCTCTGGTCTTTGGCGTTTTGAGGGGACGTCGTCGCTGGCGTGCTTTCGCTTGCTCCCTTCACCTATTTGGTTTCCTGGCAACTGTTCGAACTCGCATAAACCATCATCATTGGCCCAGTCTTCGTTGAAAAGGTGACGTTGATCCTCGGTCCAGTTTGCCATCATATCAGGGTCAACTCCAACAGGATTCTCCCGTTCAATATCTTCAGCCATAGCATTCGTCCAAAATATAATGCGTTGTTGAAGAACAGCTTCCTTCTGCTCATCAGTGAGTATAAACGACTCCTGAAGAAAGTCGAGTTCACTTTCAGCTTCACAAGCTTTGATAAGATGCAACATATTAATCTAGAAATATCATAAACATATTAATCTAAAACTATTGTAAACATATATTCAAAAACAAATTTTATCCAGCCTATGACTCTGAAACTATCGTAAACATATATTCAAAACAAATACACAAACTTACTGAATGAGCCATTTTAAAAAACAATCCAACGCAATCCAAAAGCAGAGAACACTTCAGAACCAGAGAAAACCAGAGACCACTTGCCAAATGCAACAGTGAGAAATGAAACGTATGTTTGATATACGATATTTATAATCTTTGATAATTTGTTTGGTTGCGCTACTGTGTTGTGCCGCTAATTGGTCTCGTTACTGCATTGTAATGCTAATCGATCGCCTGCCGCAGTTGGCCCAGTCCTGCCCGCGTTAACTGGTCGCGCTACCCGTCACAGTTGGCCCACCGCGTTAATTGGTCGCGCTACCTGGCCCAGGGTTAGGGTTAGGGCCAGCAAAGTTACGTCACATATTTTGCATACTAATTACTTTCGGAGCAGCGTGACGTCATTGGCGGCATCCCTTTGAACTCCAGATGGGGGTCTTTCACTACTCACCCGTATCAATTACAGTATATATTATTATTATTATTCATTATGTACATAAGGTCTGGATATATGAGGTATTCTGCAATCTGATTGGTTCTCTACTAGCAGGATATTAGCTGCTAGTAGAAAAAACAAAATGGCGGCTTAAATTGAATTTCCGACGTTTGCGAACGAGAAAACGGCAAGTTGTTCGCTTTTTATAGCCTTTACAGGATTAAAAACACAGTGAAAAAACTCCCACAAATTGTTTACAGGTTAGCAAATTAATTTAAAATGGCTAAAAATATATATTTGTGAAAAAAATAATCGGTCGAAAGAGCGAAGATAAAAACATAAAAACATTCGACTCGAGTTCGTAGAATAACTGTTAATAATAATAGTTTATTAGAACTCTCTTGCAGTTACAAAAAACTGAATTAACGAGTACTTTAATTAAAATTATTATTATTATTATACGTCTTTATTAGAAATTGAAGTTGCAACAAACGTGCATCTTTACAGTGCATATAAGATATGTGTAAATATATATATATATAGTAATTATTAAAACGTTCAGTGCATATGAGAAATGTTAAATTAGATTATTTACAAATTCAGTACTATTTCTAAATTAAATTATTTACATGCATTATAGTTAATATTATATATCGTATATAACAAAATTTTAAAACTAAAAGTCATTAAAAAGACACTTGTTCAAAAATGATTGTTTAAAACGTTCTGTGTAAACTTTTGGTAACATAAATTGATGATCGCGTTCTCTTAAAGGTCGTCGACGTTCTTCCGGTAACAACTCATATAGGCAATGTTCAGGATTGTGCATGACCTTATTGAACAATAATCGATCCCTCTCCTCAATCATCTTGGCCATTGAATATTTATTCTGAGTGTATCCATATCGGAATGCACAATGAAAAATGGATAGAAATAAGTTATAAAATAGTACGTGAATATGCTTTAGAATCTAGGCTATTTACAAGAGTTAAAATCATTAGGCATTTACCAAAATAGTAAATAGTGCATGAGTAATTTACAAATTATCATATATATTTTTAATATCTCTTAACATATTAAGAGTATTTAAATGTGAAAAAGGATTGAGCTTTAATTGTTCTGCAATCAGTATAGACATTAAATAGATAAGATCGATCAGCGTCCTGTCTCAAGTTAATATCATGGTCAGGAACAACGGGTATTGGCAATAAGGGGTGGTTTTCTCACCTCATTTTGGCCATGTATTTCTGACATATTTGGACTCTTGTGCTTAAAGTTGGTAGTTGTGCAAAATTCAGGACGTCTGCATATGATTCACTCTCCGAGAAAATTATCTTTAGTGCTCGTTTTTGCACCGACTCAATTTTCTTCGATAGATAATCCGGAATGTTTTGCCAAATAGGAACGGCGTACTCATGCAAGTACCAGTCTTACAGTGCACATGCAGGTACACTTTCAGTAAATTCGTTTGGTCGACGCCAGCTCTTCGCAGGACGCTTGAAGGGTATAGTTTTTTGTTAGCCTTCCTAACAATGTATTCAATATGAGGATTCCATTTTAGGTCGCTACTCAGAATGACACCCAAAAATGTACGTTATCACACGTTCAATAATATTGTTACCAATTTGGATTGGTCGGAGTAAGAAATTGGGGTTGTGTAGGAAGTTTATAAGCATTTCCTTATACACTTCTTAGGATTGAGCTTCATGTTATGCTCATTAGCAAATTCATGTATATCAGAGACTGCAAAATTAAGGAGGCTTATAGACTGGGGTTCCTAGGAATAATCTCGAGGGCTGAAGTATCATCCACGAATTTTGTATGAATCCAAATCAAAAACGGTCCATTGTCTGCTAAAGAGCGCGCGAAAGTTCCATATTTTTAATAGCGTAAACAAAATGGCTTTGCTTTCTTTCTAGCTTTTGTATGTATATATAGTAAAATAATTATTGAATTCGGTTTTCGTATGATATCAAGAATTGTCAAGGCCTCGGTTTGTGTTATCACAAACCGAGGCCTTGATAATTAACAATTATTCCATGAGCTCGAGTCGTATATGACTGAAACTTTTCTGAACAATTTATATTCTCAATGAACATGTTCTTTTCGCTGTTGTTTCGCTGTTAATTCTTTAAAAAAACTTGTATTTAAACTAATTTCTATGTAATAAATGTATTTTGCTAACCTGTCAAATTGTTTTGAGAGTTTTTTCTTGTTCTATTATCTTTCTCAAAGCGAATATTTTCCTTTTTTCTGCTTCGCAAAACTCATGTAGTTTTTGGACCGCCATCTTGTTTTTCCCTACTCGCCGTATGAGCTGATATACGGCGAGTAATTCAACCAATCAGATTGTAGAACAGCTCATATACGGTGAATGGCTATATTATAATTCTCGATATCATACTCAACCTCGTTCAATAATTGTGAAAAAGAAATGAGGTTGTATTGTTTTTGATCAGCTGCACTATGCGTTATACATAAATTAATTTACAGTGCCATGCAGTGGTCGAAGTTACTTTTCAGTTTTCGCTAGATATTTACGACCATGCGTTTGACTTATGTGCAAATCAAATCACAATTTAAGTCATTTTCTTCAAATCGAAACCAATTGCTGTATAAAGTCACAAGTCAACTGCACTTTTTGATGTATCTGTACATGCATCAATGAATTTCCAGTGCCGATGGTTGAAAAGATAACTACACTATACAGCAATGCAAGACAAGAATTATGAGAAACTATATGAAATAGCAATTTTACCAAGCTCTTCTTGCTATTATTTTATGCATCTAATTCTTTACAAGTATTTTAATCCAAAGATCCTATTGCATTTTCAGGCCGTGCAACTTCTAAAGACAACGAAGGAGTTTGACATGATACTGAGGCCTTGCAAGGTATCAACGATACGGATTTTATTGCTCAATCAAGCAGAAATTTTGTTTCATCTAGGAAATTTCTCTATATAAGCTTTGATTTTTTTGTTATATATAATATAAAAGTTGGTACTATTGTTTGGATACACTAAAAATAGTAAGTCACAGTCGAGACATATACACGCTATGCTATAATATGGTGCATCATGGGTATAAATATCAGGATTTGGTGCATCTATACTCTTGAACTAAGTATGGTTAAAAACAAGGATTGTGAACAAAATTAGACCAAAAATCTCAACCTTTCCTGGGGGCTTTGCCCCTTACCCTCATTAGCAACTGTACCCCCAGATTCCTGGTGCAGCTTGTTCGGCGGCGCTAGCTTCTCCCCCGTCGCTCACCTCCCCGCTAAATTCCCTCTCCCACCCCCAGCAAAATCTGAATATATCTCTTTGATCACATCCCAAGTACGGTAATGGCATCTTCTCTGTTTAGGAAGCAAGGGAATTTGTCGAGTTCAGTCGGTCTAAAGGTTTTGCCATTGTCAGTGCCAGTAATCCATCTTCTCCTGCCAAGAAACCTTTCAATGCTGTACAAGGTATAGGTAACTATCGTCACATGCCACCCCATTCACATTTTTTAGATACCAACTTGGGCCAATTGTGTCAGAACTCTTAACTACTTTTTAACTATCCGTTTTGTTGTTAAATAATGGTTGACTTTGACCAGGTAGTCAACTACAGTCGGCTGTTTAAAAATGTAGTTAGCGTAATTGTCAGTTAAAACGTTGTTCAATTAAGTTAGATGTGCTTTTGGGTATTGTCAACTTCTCAAAACGCAGTTAAAAATGACGCTTTTAGCAGTGAACAACTTTTTTTAGTAAGACAATAATGAAACGTTACGCTTAACATGGACGCCAATCTTCCCTGCATGTGAAGACTTCCTGAACGTTCTAAACTCTTCAAACGCTATCGTCTTGGTTTTTCGACAAAACCAGAATATATTTTTGCCACTGTATACACTGCAGTACTGTACAACAGTGCACAATTCTTTGTTTGTAAATGTAATTTATTGAACATGTTGTATTAAGATACTTTATTTTAATAAAGTATCTTAATACAACATGTTCATTGTTTCTAAAATATGTTTCGATATATTGGCAGTGACACCTGATAATGATACCAAGCCTGTTCCTGTGCTTGTTGCTGCAGCAGCACCCTCATTTCCGGTTACGAATAGTGTTGAAGAGCAGACAACAAGGTAATATATTATACATATATATATATATATATATATATATATATATATATATATATATATATATATAGATCAGGATTTTGGGCATCTCACATGATAGTGTTAAATGTTAGACGGATTGTAGATGGAAATCTCGAGTGTATAACTTCTATATTTTTAGACATGGCCATGAGCAGCTGCGAAAAATGCATCTATATAGGCCTTCTGGCAGGAATCGAGCATCTGCATGCATGGCCCTGTGATTCCGGTGCAGGTTCGAAGACCACATGCTTGATTCCTGCCATAGGACTTACAGTTGCATGCATTTTTCGCAGCTGCTCCTGCAGGTCAGGTCTGAAAAAGTATAAAATTTGCACTCGACTAGATCTTTATACCACGCGATGATTTTGAAAAAAAGTTGGGAGGATGCGCGGTATAGTGAGTTTGAGAAACGAGAACGAAAACAAGAGTACTTACATTATTGTAATCGAGCCAAAACATACACCACTATACGTCATTTGCCTCTTATAAAAGTACTTCTCTTTCTTTTAAACAATCATTAATAAACAATAGGTCGATTGCAAGTTATGTCACGGCGGCCGTGTTGGTGGTATAACCTTGGACTATTTACCGATACTGAATAATTATTTACATATTAATCAATTTTGATTGGTTAATGACTCTGCATATAACTGGTGCAATAATACGTGAGATGCGAATAACTGGTGCAAACAGTTTGCTCCGCATCCGCGCTTTAAAAAGAAATTCTTAGCTACAAAAATATTGATTTGCTCATGCCGCTTTGACACTTTTGTGAAGGAAATATGCGTACATGGCTAAATTGGTAGAGTTGTCCGAAGAGGAATTATGATAAGCATTGCAACATGATAATGAAATGGTGAATAATAGTGTAGCACTTATATTATCGTCACGTACTTTTATGTCTGTCCCTGGCAGACCGAGCTTGAACCTCTACACTTTCGGCAAGCAATTGATCTGCGAGTCACCGTTTCGTTGCAGTGCTCAGATTTACAGTAAAGTTAAGAAAACTTCAAAGAAACGTGCATCAAGCAAGAAAAGTCAGAATGAAGCAATTGAATCTAAAGACAGGAATGTAAATCCTGAAAACATGACGGTAATACATTGAATACATTTCAGTATATATATATATATATATATATATATATATATATATATATATATATATATATATATATATATATATATATATATATATTATTTATGCATGCCTAGTGATATTTTTTGATTTCCTGCAATCTGGGCCTGCAATCAGTGGCCCTTCTATATGGATCTTTATTCTATGCTTAAAACACTACCCAAAAATTTAAAAATCCACCCTATCGATACTAAAGATAGTAAAATACAGTGAATTGGCTTCAGTGGACTTAGTGCCAAGCCCGAAATGTACTTTTCTCCGACCAAACTGCGAAAAAAACAAATATAAACATCGAAAAACACTTGCCAGTGCTACATGTTTTGATTCAAATATTCTACATATATTCATCTATTCTTCAAAAATATACGTATAAATATAAATAGTACAACGTACAACTTGTCCTTAAACATAAAATGTTAAAAAAAACCTTCAACGGCAGTTTAAAGACGATTCCTGGGCTTATTCGGGCAAAACTGTTTCAGTTATAAATGTTGTGAAGAACAAATTGTTTTTCGGCAACTAAAATTTGTATTTGTCTGTCAAAAAGCATTTTTCAAGCATGTCCATGCTGCAAAACGAATCGGGAAATAAATCTTTTTACTTTGTTTACCTTCTGTTTTCTTGTTGAGTAGAAAAGCATCTATTGCAATGAAACTAAAAGCTTTTTACCCAGCTTTTATCGTTTTAGCAGTTTGTCAGCCATGCTTGCACTAAAGTAACAAACGCAACTGATCTCAAATGTACTTCGCAACTGGAATTTTATCGGAATTTCATTATAACCATGAACTATCAAATATCAAATAAAAAAAATAAACACGTTATTTACCGTTTTTGTCGGTCCGTACTAAAATATATTTCCCCTCGGCCTCAGAAGCGTCCCTCGGCCTCAGACCACGGGAGAATATTTTTTCAGTACGGACCTATATTTACCGGCTGTAAATAACATATATATATATA